CAAGACTTTAAGAGGTCGAGACCAAGACAAGACGAAGACTTTAACCTGTTGAACCCCATCCCTGTTTTTCAGGTCTCAGGCTCGAAAATGACATTCCCAGAACAAATGACCATATCTTCAATCAATCAATCAATGTTTATTTATAGCCCAATATCACAAATGTTACATTTGTCTCAGTGGACTTCACAGTTTGTACAGAATATCAGTATGACAATACGACACCCTCTGTCCTTAGACCCTCTGTCCTTAGACCCTCACATCGTACAAGGAAAAACTTCCCTTCTAAAAGGGTTAAATTAATAATCTTTTTTCTCAAAGTAATGATAAACCTGTGAGTTGGATGTAGAAGTGTCAGAATCAATATAGATGTTTTTTATTTTAAAGAAAATTCAGATTGAACATGGTAAAAAACTATAAATTATAGTGTCCGTCTAAAAAACATTTTGTACTTATAATGAAAACTAACCTTGGATGATGGGTTAGTAGACTAAAAGCTATAGGAATCCAAAGTACAACATATAATAAAGCTCTTATATACTAATAAAGGACTGGCTTATCTAAAGCCAGTTGAGTAGCACTTGAAATGTTTAGCTCTATGAAACCTGATGTACTTATATGATTCTGTTTTCTTCAAGTTTGTATTTTGTTGGTCGAACGCACTTATTGTAAGTCGCTTTGGATAAAAGCGTCAGCAAAATGCAATGTAATGTAATGTAATAATAAGTACCCTGTATCAAGATTGATGCAAAACAAGTGATATTTGACCTTTTTAGACAGAATTAGCAAAAAAAACACTTCTGGGGTCATTTGGGTGGATTTGCCATATCTCTGGCCCCCCTCGTCGATTTTGCTGATTGACATCTCTTTCTAACCGTCAGAGCCAATGGAATCGAGGGAAAGTCCCACATACACACACAGGTTACCAAATAAGGAGTGAGAGTGACGCGAAGCCAAAACCGGAGTTGTGACACACTCTGGTGGCTACCATTAGCAGCTAATTTTTATTCTCCAATTTTTGCAAAAAAATTGAATTATGGATTATCAATCAATCAATCAATCAATGTTTATTTATATAGCCCAATATCACAAATGTTACATTTGTCTCAGTGGACTTTACAGTTTGTACAAAATATCAGTATGACAATACGACACCCTCTGTCCTTAGACCCTCACATCGTACAAGGAAAAACTTCCGAAGAAAACCCACAGTTTAAAGGGAAAAATGGGAGAAACCTCAGGGAGAGCAACAGAGGAGGGATCCCTCTCCCAGGACGGACAGACGTGCAATAGATGCCGTGCATCTATTGCATGTGCAATAATCTTTTCAAAGTGACAGACACATTGAATTAACCTATGGATGAACCTTCAGCCGCGTTTTTTCTCGTTTTAATGCCATTGAATACGATTTTTGATCAGAATAACAGCTAAAGTGAGCATATCTCCGTGTTTTGCTACCTAAAGCTACGTCGTGTGTTGTCTGTATTTGCTTCCCCTGTCACGAGTTCTGATCGCTCAGTGATGATCCTTATATTTATATAATCTGTGGACTCTCAGGATGTTATCTAAGCTTGTTTGTGCAGATCCAATAAGTATATCGATCAGTGTAGCTAGAGTTCTGTGCTAACGGCCTTAAGATTGTTTCGCTCGTGGCTAATTCAGAGGCTCGGCGTTAGTTTTGTGTTTTTTTTCCCAAAAAAACAAAAAAAGATCAGTTAGCTGAGTTTCTTCCTGTTACATGGACATGAAACATTCATAGTTTATTAAATATTAAGAAGCCCTCAGACACTGTTTCCTGCAGATGATGCGTTTTTCCGCCCAAGACGTTAAGAGGTCGAGACCAAGACTTTAAGAGGTCGAGACCAAGTCAAGACCAAGACTTTAAGAGGTCGAGACCAAGACTTTAAGAGGTCGAGATCAAGTCAAGACCAAGACTTTAAGAGGTCGAGACCAAGACAAGACCAAGACTTTAAGAGGTCGAGACTAAGACCTTAAGAGGTCGAGACCAAGACAAGACCAAGACTTTAAGAGGTCGAGACCAAGACAAGACCAAGACTTTAAGAGGTCGAGACCAAGTCAAGACCAATACTTTAAGAGGTCGAGACCAAGACCAAGACTTTAAGAGGTTGAGACCAGGTCAAGACCAATACTTTAAGAGGTCAAGACCAAGACCAAGACTTTAAGAGGTTGAGACCAAGACCAAGACTTTAAGAGGTTGAGACCAGGTCAAGACAAGACTTTAAGAGGTCGAGACCACGTCAATACCAATACTTTAAGAGGTCGAGACCAAGACCAAGACTTTAAGAGGTTGAGACCAGGTCAAGACAAGACTTTAAGAGGTCGAGACCAGGTCAATACCAGGACTTTAAGAGGTCGAGACCAATACACTTTTGTAGACATACACACACAGGATGAAGGAAAACTCTTTAACATACACACACATTCTCTCTCCCTCTCGTAGCCCCCCCACACACACACACATTCTCTCTATCTCCCTCTCTCTCACACTCAGTTTGTGTCAGTGAAAGCTTGTAGGACACACACACACACACACACACACACACACACACACACACACACACACACACACACACACACACACACACACACACACACACACACACACACACACACACTACGCAACATTTTCACTGCAAGACCATTTGAGTCTTTTGAGTCATTTGTCTTGAGACAAGACCGGTCTTGACATAAAATCTCGAGACCTATAGGTCCGAGACCGAGACAAGACCAAGACCGTTCAAAAGTGGTCTCGAGACCAAGAATATTAACGTTGGTCCCTGAAGGCCTCACCCTGCTATCAGACAGACTATTAACAGTTGGTCCCTGAAGGCCTCACCCTGCTATCAGACAGACTATTAACAGTTGGTCCCTGAAGGCCTCACCCTGCTATCAGACAGAATATTAACAGTTGGTCCCTGAAGGCCTCACCCTGCTATCAGACAGAATATTAACAGTTGGTCCCTGAAGGCCTCACCCTGCTATCAGACAGAATATTAACAGTTGGTCCCTGAAGGCCTCACCCTGCTATCAGACAGAATATTAACAGTTGGTCCCTGAAGGCCTCACCCTGCTATCAGACAGAATATTAACAGTTGGCCCCTGAAGGCCTCACCCTGCTATCAGACAGAATATTAACAGT